TTCACACTGTCCCCCTATTTTCAATGTGTCTCAGATTTCTGTATTAAAAACACACAACTACACCACAAAAAAGAGAAGCTGGAAGTTTTTGTCAACTACTAGAGAAAGGAATAGTTAGGGCTTTCGGTACCTTGGATTGCATGGAAGGCAGTTTGGGATTGTGGGATAAACACGGTACCTGAATGTTTCTACTAAAATGATCAACAAGGAAAGACTTAATACCACTGATAATTATGTTGATATTAAGCTTCAGGATTAACTGGTGCCTGGTTGGTTTACATCTCTCAGAGCAATAGTTTCAGGTTATCTGCAGACTCGGGGAGACATCACTGCCCCAGTTTATACAGGTTCATGGACTAAGATAGTTTCTGACCAACAAGGCAGGCTTGTTCTCGCTAGTGTTTATTATTAGCTGTACCTCCTATTTGACGGGAGCATACTTGGCCCAGTACATGTATTTTCACTCCCGAGTAGTGTTTTAGCTGCAAAGGAGGGATTTCCAGTGGCCAAAGTGCCAAGGTTCTTTGTTTATTGCTTCTGGCAAACTGACACAGCTACTCTGCATCAAGCTGCATGTTCCCGGTGTAACATCTAAACCACATTTTAATGGTCACTCCTTTCTCCCCCAGGCCATGTAGACTGTAAATATTCCCAAACAATCATTCTCAGTAGAGATGGGACAATTACACTGTCCTTTCCATATATTAAGGCCTCTCCTGGGTCTTGTTTATTCCTTCAGCTCCATACAGTATGTCCAGTTTTGGGAGATAAATGACGTTCTACAGAGCCTGACAGAACCATCCTGGCATGTCCAAACACAGCATGGCTACGACTGTAGTAGTAACGATATATTCTGGAATTCCTGAAGCACTTACTCCTTGATGCTTAGCACTGTTGCAGGGAGAGAGGATTTGGGGTAATTTCCAAGCACCAGGCATTGCAGTCCACTGTGGAATGGAATTCAAAGGGCCATCTTCTCAATTGATGCAGCTGCAACATTTAAGGTTCCTGTCCACACTGGGGAGAATCTGTTGTAGTCTGCTCTGGTTCCCTCAACGAAAGACATTGTTCTGGTCATTGCAATTAACCAGTACAGTCAGTGCCTGTTAAACCTCTAGGACACCTGTTGTGTGTAAATGCAAGGCTTTCTACAGGCAGCAGAAGCTCCAGACACTGTAAGTAACACCATTTTGTTTAGAGCACTCTTAGGGCCAGGATCGGCTCTAGGCACCAGCAAAACAAGCACCTGCTTGGGGCAGCACATTTCCAGGGGCGGCACAGCGGCTGGTAGCAGTTTTGGAGGCAGCTAGGCCCGCATGGCCTCAGCTGCACAGTGCAGGGCGCAGGGCATCTGCAGCACGGGGGCGCCGCTCACCACCTCAGCCAGGTTGTCGTGGTGCACCTCGCCCATGCCGGCCGTGTCGATGAGCAGGTGCAGCACCCCGTAGCTCACCCCCTTCACCTGCAGGATGTCCGGGGACTTGGCCGCCAGCAGCGACTTGTGGGCTCGGATCCACCGGCGGGACACTTCAATCACCAGGTCCGGCTCCTCCGAGACCAGCTGCTGCGGGCTCCAGGGCTGCACTCCAGCCTGTGGACAGTAAGTGCCAGACGGCGGCCGGGCGATGTCGCCTCCTCCCGCCTCAGACTCGGATGCGCCTTGTTAATCTCCCACTGGCTCTTCACCACCTGGCTGCAGGAGGAGGCTGCTCCGGGATCCTGCTGCGGGGCTTTGTCCCCCGCCCCGGGCGAAGTGAAGCACAAGGAGGAGCTGAAACCGCTAGGAACTTGCAAAGGGAGCGTGGCGCTTTCCCCACCCCCGCTCTCCTCTTCCCCAGCTGATGCGCTCCCTTCCATGGAGCCGGGCTGCTGCTGGCTGCCCTTGCTTCTCTCCGCGTCCCCCAGAGCTTTCCCCGGTGGCCCGAGCTGCTGCTCCGCTCCTCCGCAGAGCCTTTCTGGACAGGTCTTTGCATCCCTGATATTCCCATCACCCGAATAAAGGACACAGGATAGGACTGGGCTCTCCATGGCTCTAGCAGAGGCTGGACCTGGCTAACGTCCCCCGCACACACACACACTCCCAGCTCAGCAGCACAGTCAGCCACCCCTTCGCCTTCCTCTTCTCCCCCCTCCCTTTTTACTTTTTCTTCCTTTGCGGTTTAAGGTTGAACGTTACTGTGGGTTTTCCTTGCTCAACTCTCCTTCTTGGCACATGGTCAATTTCAGCCTTGTTTCCAAGCCTGGCCTCCTCTCACATGTTGACAGCAGAAAGAGGTGTGGGGCAGCTGTCCCTGCAACCACTCACTGCTGAACTTTTCAACTCCACTAATTTCAACATCGGTTAGATATCTGTAACCATCATATGTTTGCTGCAGCTTGATTGCTCAGACTTTCCGTGAGTGGCATTGACAGATCAATGTATAGTAATAAAGTATCTCACTTCCTGTTTCTTGGGGGAGTTTGATTTTTTTTCCTGGCACAATTTAATTTTCTATGAGCCATTTTCCTTTTTTTTTTTCTTCAGAGTAAGCGACACATGTTCTTTAACAAGTGAGAGACCATTGAGTTTTAACAGTTTTGATTTACCTAGATGTTCGTATCAGCCTGCATGCATCTCCCAAGATCCATTTGACTAATTGCACTGTTTTATTTCAGCTCAAAGAGGAGCTAAAGATTTTCCTTGGACTTCCTGCTCTGAAATTTGCAGCAGCAGAGTC